GAGTTGGCATTCTGTCCGGTGACCAGGTGGCGATCCAGCACAACATGCACAGCATCTGGCTCGCTGGCTAAGAGGACCAAGGGTACAGGCCTTAGGTGCTGCATACCCCAGACTCACCCTTGCCACTGAGGGGTTGTGAGCACCAGACAGAGTCCAGTGGTCATCTGCAGGTCAGCCTGCCTGGGGCTGAGCCACCAGCCACAGGAGTCTACAGGCACATAACCTGGGGGCTGGCCTGGCTGGCTGCTCCCCAGGATGCAGCAAGTTACCCCCACCCATCTCCTGTGAACGTGGGGTGCCCACCCAGCTCACCACTGAAGCCAGCACCCGAGTCCTTCACGAAGTCCTCTACCACCAGTGGCAAGCGGGCGAAGCCAGGAGCCCTTACGAGCTCATACACAGAGGGCTGCAGGGGCAGGGGGCTGAGTTAGACCCACAGCCCCCAACCACTCTTTTCTTATCTGGTAACCACCCCTGTTCAAAAGGTTGACCCTAAGGGTCAGGCAGGTCAAACCACAGTGCATCAGAGGAGACCCTCACCCATCGCACAGTGGTGAGGAAGCAAGATGAGGTGGGGGCTGCTGCTGAGGCAGATGGCAAGAGACCAGGGCAAGGCCAGCCACCCTGCCCCATGGGGTGGCCCTGGGAGACAAACCCACTACAGCTAGAAGGCCTGACTTTCCCGACAGAATGATGAGCTGGCAGCCTTGGGGTGAGCCCCTTCCTGGACTCCCATAATGCCCACACATGAGGGTCTGACCCCAAAAGGCCCCAGTCCACCTCCACCCTTATTTCCATGCGCTCAGTTCAGAAAAGACACAGGGACAGCAGTCATAGCGCCCACAGGAATCTGACTGAGGATGCTGGCTGTCCCTGAGGCACTCACCCCTGTAAGGCTGTAGCCGTGGAACACCCAGGACCTGTCCTCACTGGTGGCACAGCAGAGGGCAGCAACACCATGGCCGATGGCACAGATGGGCTCTGTAAACAGTAAGGCCGCCCAAGGCCCTGGATGCTGGCCTGGGCTTCCCCCCCCAGGAGCTCCCCTATGCCCTGGCTACCTGGCCACCGCCCAGAGCATACTTCAGGACTAGGTTTGGCCTCGGGCTCGGGGGCTGAGGTACATGCACAGGCAAGGTCCCCAGGGAGTTCCAGGCCCATTAACTGACTGCAGATGGCCCTGCCTGCAGAGGAAGCCCTGTGAGGTGGGGAAGATGCTCCCAGGTGGTGCCCCTGCCCTGTAATGGGATCACCCAGACCCTCCCCAAGGGCTCCTGGCACTGGTCCAGGAACTGGGTGGAACCCTGAGCTGTCTGCATGCTGGTCCCTAAGGGATGTCCTGCTCCAGCCACTGACATGCCCTTCATAATGCCCCCATCCCCACCAACCCCCTTGGGAGCCCACAGGGAAGGGACCAAAGAGCATAGTGTTTGGGGGATCACTCCCTCAGTGTGAAGAGCAGAGCACACATCCACTGGCCTGTCACAACTGCCTGGCTTTCCACACCTGCCAACTGGCTGGAGAAATGACCACACCCCACCCAGCATCTGCCCACCCATCCTCCAGTTTCTTGTCACCTACTGCTCTCAGAGTGGAAGTGCTGCAGGATTCGGGCCAGAGACCCACTGCTAGCCAGGTCAGCCAGGGCCCCAGGACAGCTGGGGATCAGGAGGGCATGGTACCGGGCACCTGTGGGGAGACACTGGCCAGGAGGCCATGTATCAGTCACAAGGGTGTGGCCAGGGAAGACTCTCCACAAGGACCCTCGGCTCCTCTCTGCCACACAGGCCAGAGGGCATCACTTGTAGCTCCCCTACACAGACTACAGGCGGGGGCCCCATGCAGACTCCCAAGTGCCAAGCTGGACTTTTTCTTCTCCCAGAGGAGCTCGGGAATCCTGGAGCCCTGATGTGGACTGGAAACTCCCCTGGACAGTCACAGCACTTCAGGGTAAGCCACAGGGTGGATTCAGGGGCAAACCACCTGAACCCCCTAACCCTTAAGCACACCACCCAGGGGCAGGGGGAACATGTCAGCCCAGCAAGGAGTGGTCTCGGCCCACCGTCAATGGACTCGAGCTTGGCAGGGCTGGCGTAGGCCTTGAGGCGGAAGTCCTGCACCCAGCGTGCATTGCTCTCGGTCACATCCACGAAGTCTATAGCCTTCCCCTGTAGGAACAGAGCCCAAAGGCTGAAGGTCAGCATGGGGGCGGGGGATCATCCCACTGATGACTCACAGGGAGTCTAGAACACTGACCCACTGTAGACCCTCAGGGTACAGAGGCACCTGATAATGTAGTCAGCTTCACTGGCTGCCCTGGGCAGGGGTCACCCATGGATGACCCTGTCCCACCAGCAGCCATACAGATGGGTCAGGCACAAGAAAAACAACTGAGAAAAGACCACAGAACCAGACTCAGTGTGGCAGCCAGGGCAGTCCCACACCTGAGCTGATGCACCTGGAGGTCTCTACTGTAGCCCACCACATCCTACTCCCTCTTGGGCCCAACCACTAGCGGGTAGGGAATTCCTCCTAGAGGAGACATCCGTGCATGTCCCTTCACAAAGACCGACCCTCCTCTCTCAAAGTCCCCGCACCAGGACCAAACCTCTCTCACTTGAAGATGTGTAAAAACAGACCACAAGGAAAAATTCTCCCTCACCTCTGTGGCATCAGAGCCCAGGAAATGGGCACCAGGACTTGGAGGAAGCACCAGATTTTGTTGCAGACCCCTCACCCCAAGCCAGCACCCTCTGGGTCATACTAACTGCAGAGGGCTCACTACTCCTAAGAAGCAATGGCACTTTGTGGCCTCACCCCAAGAGAGGCAGGGACCTCATGTATCCACTGGAGACGGATGGCTGAACTTACCCCAGGAGTCGCCACCTGCAGGTTGAAGGCAGCACTGGCCAGCGTGAAGCAGTGGAGGAAGGACTGAGCTGACACTCCTGCAGGAGAACAGTTCTGCTAGGTACCCCCACCCCAGGAGGCTGCCCAGGTATTCCTCTCCTGGTCCTGGAACCGCCCTTAGGAGTACCCCTTCTCTCCCACTCCAAGGCACACCTCTTACAGCCCTTGGACAGGACAGCAGCCCTTCAAGTCCAGGAAGCTGAAGCTCAGACGATGCAATCAGAGGTGTACGGCCAGGTCTGTGCTCTGCCAGCCCTGACCAGAGACCTGCCAGCTGACCAGCAGCTCAGCATTGCCCTGGGGCCTGCTCTCCCTGAAGCTGGCCACCTCAACCTGGACCCTCAGGCCCCAACTAAATTGGGGGCAGGAAATAGCCCACCTCAACTGCCCACACCCTCCTCTTCTCTCACACAGCCACTACAGGCCTTTCCAAGGGAAAACCCAAGTATGGGTTCCCTTTTACTCAACTCTTTCTCTGCAGAACCACCAGGGTGCAAGGCACCCTGGCTAGGAAAGAGAGACAGTGAGCAAAGCTTGCTCCCATGGAGGTGTGGCTGTAGCAAGAGGCAAAGGGACAGCGTTGGGTATCCTGGCCTGAGGAAGGACACTCCAGGCCCAGGGTCCCTTCCTCCACTGAGCTCTGGGCTTCTGCCACTTCCACCAAGCTGTTCCCAGCCCACTTCTGCCTGCCAAAGGACCTTTCCAAAAGAAACAAGGCTGGGCTAAAGAAATAGCTCAGTGGTCAAGGCTTGCCTAGGATGCAGGAGGCCCTGGATTACATTGGCGGGGGGGGGGGGGGGGGGGGGGGAGCAAGGCCTGCGAGGTAGAGAAGCCTCTAGGCCCAGAACAATATTCCAGGGAATGCAGACCCACATCACCTTCTACGGTGCTAATGCCTTCTTCTCTTCCCTTTTCCTCCCTCCCTCTTTTCCTTTGGTGCTAGGGGTGTTTTTACCACGGACCTACACTCCCAGCCTTCTTTATTTTTTACATGAGACATGGCCTGCTGGCTAAGTTGCCCAGGCAGACAGCGAACTTGCAATCCTCCTGCCTCAGGCTCCTGAGTCGCTGGGATTAAAGACCTTATCCCAGCCCAGCTACAGTGCTGTGACTTGTACATTCGTTCAATCCCGGGACCCAATCCCTGAACCTCATTTTCTTCCTTATGCACTCTTGTTAGTTAACACACATTGACTGCAAAATGTCCACGTAGCAAAGACAGCCAACCTCCTCAAACCACTCCCAGCTTCTGCCCACGCAGTTCTTCCTACTCTCACTCCGTACCCGTCCCTTCCACGGCCCACCGAGCCCGCTGGACTTTTCAGAGCCGTCCAGGCCCACGTCCTCAACTTCTTTCCTGGACCACAGCAGGAGCCTCTGGAGATTCTCAACCCACACCTTCTGGGCTCCTCCAGCCTCCTTGGGGGGGGGGGCGCCTCACTTGGGCTCCGGAGCTCAGCAGGCCCCATCCCCCCACCTCCGTGACGGTCCCCTAGCCCCCGTAACGTGACCTTGGGCTGGTCACTTACTAGAGGACCCAAGAAGGAATCGCGCGCTCGGCCCTCCCCCGCCGGGGACCCAGTGCGCGGGCAGCGGAACCCCGGTCTGGGCGAATCCCTGCGGTTCTGCCCAGCCGACCAGCCTCTGTGCGGAGCACGTCCTGCGCGAGCGCGAGGCCGAGCCCGGACCAGGGGCACGCGAGGGCCGGCGCCACCTTCCCCGCCGCAGCCCGCTGCAGACACCCCAGGCCCGCGTGAGGTCCGGAGGGTCCCGGTCCCGAGTGACGCGCCCGTGCAACGCACCTTCCGCGGCGCCGCTGGCCACCAGGAGGCAGGCGGGCCGGCTGGGTAGCCGCTCGGACGCCATGGCCACGGGACGACGCCCGCCAGCGCGCGTGCTTCCGAGGGCGCGTGCTTGCGAGGGCGCGTGCTTGCGAGGGCGCGTGCTTGCGAGGGCGCGTGCGAGCGCGGGGCGGGGCGGAGCGCGGGGCGGGGCGGAGCGCGGGGCGGGGCGGAGCGGGGCGGGGCGCGCCGCCGGAGCACGCAGGCCACGCGCCGCATGGCGCATGCGCACCTGTCTCGGCGCGCGGGCTCGCGGCCGCAGGCGCTGGCCTCCCCAGCTGAACCCGCTTGAGGATCCCCGGACCCTGCGGCGTTTGAGTCCGCGGACCCGGGTAGACGCAGCCGGCCCCGGTCCTTTCGCTCTGCCGCCAGCGCCGGCGGGGCCGAGCGTGCGGCAGCGTGGACCGGGGGCCAAGACCCTGCGGCAGACTGGCGGCCGCCGCGTCCGGAGGTGAGGGCCGCGGAGCCGGGTGTGGCGGCGGGGACATCACCCCAGGGGCAGGCCTGTCACCTCAGAGCCGTTGTGACTTCGCGGTTGCTCGGATTTTGCGTGCGCGCGGGGAGGTAGTGCCCTTTTCCGAGAAGGGAACGTCTCCAGGGTGCTGGAGGCGTGGGGGAGTCGCAGGGGGTAGGGGCAAGCTCAAGGCGGTTTCCCCTGCGCTGCACTTGCACGGGGGTCCACGCGGGTTGGTCAACCGGTAGGTGGTGTTCAAGTCCTGGGCTGAGAGGGAGGGAGGCTGGGCCAAACTGGTTGGTTGGTAAGAGGGTGGCTCCGCCAGTACCACTGTTTCTCCAAGCTCTGCTCCAACTAGGGAAACTTGTGATTGGAAACAGCCAGAGTGGCTGAGTCCCGGGCAGGGAGCCACCCTGGCACGCATCACCTCCCCAACCACTGGCCTCTACCTCCTGCCCAGCCCAGTCCAAAGGAGGAATTCCTGACCACCCACCAAAGCGCCAGGAGCCCCTGTTCTCGTCCACTACAGGGCCTCCAGCTCTGCAGCCAAGAGGAAGCTGGGGCTTTTGGCATAGGCAGAGCTGAGGGTAGGGCTGGGAAGAGGGACAGACCTGAGCCTACCACCTAGTGTCCTATGCTGGAGATTCACAGGTCTGAGGTCAGACCATAGGCTGGACTTAGCCACTGGAAAGCTTCTGGATCTGTGGAAGGGGCATGCCCTACAAGTGCTCATTGGTGGCACTTGGGAGCTGCAGGGTCTACCTGCTCACTCACCTGTCCTGTACTGCCCCTCAGGTGTTCCTAACACAACAGAGCTGGCTGAGCTTGCCACTGGTGCAGAACTGAGGACATCATCCCGAGGAGCTGAGGCTCCAGGTGCTCTCCTGAGGGTGGCTGCCATGCCACTGCCTCAAACTCTGGGCCTCCTTAGGCTCTAAAGAAGAGAATGAGGAGGAAGCCAAGGCCCATCCCTGACCCTGCAGCAAGGCTGGCATGTGCACATACATGAAGCGCTGTGCCCACTGGTGGTAGTGAGCACTGAGTGTCTGCTTGGGGCACGGTACCTGCCATATGATCCGCAGAGCTGAGCAGTCGCACCCTGGAGAGAGTGACACAAATCTGAGTCCATGATATCTGTCCACAGTGACCTGTCTCTGTAAGCATCCTGGGCTTCCAGTGGGGCTAGCCTGTACAGTGCTCAGAGTTGGTGCAATGACCACTCTCTAGGCTGGCACAGGTGCAGGTGTGAGGGAGGGTGGTTCCAACCAGGCACTAAGAGGGGCAGCTAGCCACAGGCCACATCCAGCATTCTAAGACCAGCTCCTCCTCATCTGGGGTCAGTGGTAAGGATATGCCAAAATGACCCCCTGTGGCCCTATCACATTCCCTAGGATCAAGCCCTGGAGTGGGGGTGCCCATCAGGCAGTCTGTTGCTGATCAGTATCCCTGATGTGCCCACCCAGTTGTACTAGCACATCTACCCCCAGGGACCTCCTGTTCCAATGGGTTGAGCCGGTACCCCCACATCTCCCTGAGTAGCAGCCCTGAAGGCTGGCCCCTAGGCATGATGAGGCTGTTTTGGGGGAGTAGAGGGCACATAGTTATTCTCAGGGCAGAACACAGGGGGCCTCTGAAAACCAGACAGGTCTGTAGCCAGCAGCCCAGGCCTGGGTGGTATCTCCTGGGAACGGTCCCAGACTGGGGCAAGGAGTCTCAGGGATTATGGGTCCATGGCCCAATGATGAGTAGTGTCTGGGGCTGCATTTGGTAAGTGGCCCCCTCCCCATCCTGCCCTGCTGAGCCTCCTCCAAAGGCATTTGCCCAGTGTCAAATTGGAGGTTTTGATTGTGAGGCTCACGCACTTACACCCTGGATGTGGCTTTCTGGGGCATGGTGCTGCTGCTGTTCAAGGACCTGATCCACCTAGTGGTGAGTGCCAGGGAGGGGAGGTGAAGGGGGAGTCTGGGCTGGGGACTGGAGTTCTGTCTGCTGGAGGAAGTGGCAGTGCCCTCAAGGCTGGGGCTTTGCCTGTGTCCGAGACCCCAGGCCACAGGAACGCAGGGAACTGTGGGTACACCATACACCAAGGAAGAGGCTTTGAAGAGGATCATTGTTCCTTTGCTGTCTCTAGAACTGGTTCCTGCTCGGATCCAAGGATAGGGCCAGGGCCTTTCCAGGAACACTCTGCCTTGCAGGACTTTCCATGCTGCACGATGTCCTGGGTGACTTCACTCTGGCACTACCAGCCCTGTCTGCCCAGTGCTTTGTTTTTTGTTTTGGGTTTTTTTTTTTTTTGTCTGTCTGTCTGTTTTTTTCCTCCTTCAGTGCTGGGAGCGGAACTCAGGGCCTTGTGCGTGCTATGCAAGTATATATTTTCACTTTTTTTTTAAGCTCATTATTTTAGTTCCAGAGATTAAACCTAGTGGGACTTAACCACTGAGCCACATCCCCAGCCCATTTTTTTCTTACTTTGAGACAGGGTCTCACTTAGTTGCTGAGTCTGGCTTTGAACTTAAGATCCTCCTGCCTCAGCCTCTTGATTCTCTGGGATTAGAGGCTTATGCCACCATGCCTGGCTCCTTTTTATTTTTAATTTTGAGACAGGGTCTCTCTGAGTTGACCAAGTTTGCTTCAAACTTGTGATTCTCCTACCTCAGCCTTCTAAGTGGATGGGATTACAGGCCTGCGCTACAGTCCTGAGAAAATCCCCACACACAGTGGTGCCCCCAATTCCTCCTCTTTTTTTTTTTAAAGATTTATTTTTTAATCGTAGTTGGACACGATACCTTTATTTTATTTATTTTTATGGGGTGCTGAGGATTGAACCCAGGGCTTTGCACAAGCTAGGCAAGTGCTCTACCGCTGAGCCACAACCCCAGCCCCCCAATTCCCCTCTTTAATGACCAGGTGACAACCAGGTAGATTGTCTGGGAAGAGGTCTGCCTCGAGGCCAGAGGAAGCCCTTGGGGTGGCCCAGTGCCCACACAGCTCTTTTCCCTTGAGGGATCAGGCTTAGGCTGTGGTGCGGCTGGGCTGGGCTGGGCTGGGCTGGGCTGGAGTGTGAAGATGTAAACACCAGCACCTGTGAGTGGATCAGACCAAGCAGTGAGTGACAGCCCCCAGCACAGGTTATGGTACAAGCTGCCAGCACCTGCAGTGGTACCCACAGTACCACACAGGATAGCTGATTGTACTGTTTGCCCTGCTGGCAGGCCTGGCCAGAAGATGAACAACATGTGGGTGGTAGTGTTTGTGGCCCTTGATGGGGTGATAGACCAGGAGGCAGGCCCCAGTGCTCAGGACATCAGGACAGGGAACATGCCTCATGCTTCAGGGTGCCATGAGGCTGCAGGGTGGTGGAACTTACCTCCTGCCCCTGACCCACGCACCTAGGATGGGGTCCAGGAAGATTGGGGAAGCAATGCCTGCATCGCTGCAAGGTGTGCTCCTATCAAGGAGCCTCAGATAGATCCTTGATCCGGAAGGCACGGCCCTGCTCAGCTCAGCAGCCCTCCCTGCGTGGGCCAAGACACCAGGCAGGACATGTCCAGGCATTCAGAGACAGGTCACTGAGATGCTAGAGAGGAAAATAGTGGGCCCACATACCTGTTATGGACTCATCACACAAGGTGGTGGGGCTCAGATCACATAGAACCTGGTAGGGTGTAGCTTGGGGCCTCTCTGACTGCGCCCAGCCAATGGACACCTCTGTCCCTGAAGTTAATGCTCCCCACCTTGGTTTTCTTGTTTCCTGGGTTTCTTTCTGTGATTGACCATACGTGTGTATGCTTATACACTCAGTGTTTTTCCACACCTGGTATTTGTTTAGACCTTAAGTCATTCTGTAATAAAACTAATTTAAAACCAGCCCTGGGTGTCCCTGAGAATCCTTTTCCTTTGAGGAAGGCCCCCTGTGTCACTCAGGTGTAGGGCCCATGAAGCAAAGCTGTGCACTGGAACGTCTCCAGGCCCCAGAGACCTCACTGCCCAGTTCTAACGTCCCCTGGAGGGGATGCCAGGAACTAGCACAAGTGGGGAATCAGAAAGAAAGGAGGAAACAAGATGTTGACCAAGCTGCTGGGAAGTGTGAGGCCCAGTGGCATCATCATGGGAGGAGGTTGGCCTTGTCACCTCCTGGGGCAGGGCCATCATCTCCTGAGGGGAGAGAGACAAGCCCTGGCTTGCTGCACACAGAACCCATGTGTCCAGTGGTTTGGAACTGGGCTGCGTGTCCTCCACAAGGGTTCCAGGAGAAGGGGCAGTGTTGGGCTTGTGGAACTTGGGTCTCCTAGCTTCTGCTCCAGGAGCATGGAGCACGGAGCATCAGCACCAGCTGGGAAAGCATCTGCCAGCAAGTGTTTCACAGGCTCCCACTTGAAGGAGAAGGTGTTCCAGCCAGCAGAGAAACAGTGGTGCATGGAAAGGAAAACTCTCACTGTGAGAGCCAGGTAATGCAGGACCCGAGGAGAGGCTCCTTGGTCAGCTTTCCATCACTCATAGACTTGAAGTCACCATCTTATAAAGAGAAAAGGTTTATTTGCCCAGGCACCGTGGTGTACACCCTTAATCCTAGCAACTCGGGAGGCTGACACAGGAGGATTGCAAGTTCTGGGCCAGCCTGGGCAATTTAATGAGGCCCCACACAACTTAGCAAGGTGCTATCTCAGAAAATGAAAAAAGGAATAGGGTGTGGCTCAGTGCTTGTAAAGGGCCCCTGGGATCAATCTTTGGTACCCTCCCACCCCCCCAAAAAGAAAGAAATGTGTATTTGGCTTGCAGTTTCAGAGGTTTCAGTTCACGGTCAGCTGCCCTGTTGCTTGTGGGCCTGAGTCAGGACAGCACATGGCTGTGGGCACACAGGGCAGAGCAAAACTGCTGCCCTCAGCAAGAGTAGAGAGCTACTGATCCCACTGCCCCCTCCCCTGACCTGCAGGCCTCGCATGAAACCTGCCTCTGATAGTGCCACAGGGGGCATCAGTCCTTTAATACAACATCTTTGGGGGAGATTCCAGACCCAGGCCCTTCCAGGCTTTATGACCTAAATGCTCTTTGCCAGAGAACAATGAGAAAAAGGAGTGGCAGCCTTCAAGGACTACCCCGCGGCCAGCCTAGGACTGGGCCTATCTGCAGTCACCTCTGCTGCCTCCTGAAGTGTCGGAAAGTACTTGCCTGTCTGAAGGTGCAAGTGCAGGGACGGGGGTGGGGGGTGGTTTCTGGGCATAGTGCAGCCTGGGACTTGTGGGGCAGGTAAGCTGAAAGCTACCGTGTGAGCATCGGGGCTCCTGGGTTGGAGGAAGAGCCAGAGTGCAGGTGGTGGTAGGAGGAGACTACAGGGATGGCTCTGGGCCAGGGTGGCAGGTCCCTGGTACAGGTTCCCCATCCCCACCATACCCTATGGTACAGAGTTGCCTGGGATGTGGCTGCGTGAATAGGTCTGCTGCTCTGGAGAGGGTGGGTACCTGCAGGGCCAGGAGGAAGAGACAGCTGTGTTTCCCCAAACCGGTTCAAAAAAGTCTTGTGGAGCTGCCTCTGTGGTGGGGCCAAGGGGCCCAGGCTGATGAAGCCCAAAGAGCACTTGGGGCCCAGCATCACCTGCAGCTGGACCATGGGCAGCTCCCACCAGTATACACAGGTCAGAGTGGGCTCAGGGCTGTGGACAGAGGTGGCCAGAAGATGGAGAGTAAGCCTCCCGAGGCCTCTTCTGCACTCCTCCAGGGATATGGGGGCTCACTGCAGAAAGGACTGTGGCCAGCAGTCCAAACACTTAGCTGTCCATCTGGAGTCAGGGTATCCGGGATGGGGCAGGGTCTGGGTGGGGCTGTGGGTAGAGCCCACTAGGACCAAGGGTAGAAGGTAGCAGGCAGGGCCTAGCAGGGGGCTGGGGACTTCCTACCTGATCTGGAAAGCCCAGGGCGCCGGTCTACTTCTGCCCCTCCCAGGCGCACACAGGTGAGGATGCCAACCCAGCCCTCAGACAACAGAGTTTATTCCAGACTCAGCCTCCACTCAGGCCCAGCGTTCCTGCAGCTGCTGGCCAGGTGAGGGCAGTGTAACCACAGTGCCCACTGCTACCTTCTGGAAGCCTGCCAACTGTCACTGTGTGGGGAAAGGCTGGTACCAGAAATGGTGAGGAGGGGCAGTGAGGTGGGTGATGTCACCCCAAGTGGCTCTACTCTGTTATTGCATGTATACGCTTCAGACTTGGGACACTGGGTGCAGGTGGGACCGGCAGTCTGCTGGGGGTATTGGGCAGACACAGATGTGGAATGGGGTTCTCAATGTCCCCCCAGCTCTCTGCCAGGCTGTCAGCCACTCCCCAGGATAACTGTCCTACTGAGCAGGAAGTGGACAGGAAGTATGGTGGTCCCAGCCTTGGGCTTCCCTGGGGCACAAGCTGGAGAAAGCAAACTTTGGGGAGCACTTCCCAAGACCAACCCTATCTTCTCCCAGCCAGGGCATGAGGCAGGCAGTGGGCAGAGGTGGCTCTGCAGCTGTGACCACCCACGTCATGTCAGTACCTACATCAGACCCCTCAGCAGTACACGGAGCAGAAGTGGGGAGAGTGAAATAGCCATGTCCTTTGATGTCCCCACAAAGTCCATCCCACTCCACCAACTGGTCTTCCTCACTGCTCCCAGCTGCCTGTCCCAGGCCAAGTCCTCTACCCAATGTTGGAGTTCCACCTTCCCTGCCCTATAAGCCCCAGAGCCCAGGCTGCTTCTGCCCTGGAGCCTGAAAGGAGTGTGCTGGGCTCAGAGGTAGGCCCTGTTCTCTGATGGTGGGCTGTCCATCTCTCCTGCTGTGATTATGTGTAGGGCATCTGTGTATATCGATACATATATGTGATGTGTGTAGATAGGTCTGTGAGGATTCGCATGCAGTGGACTCCCAGGGCTGCACAGAAAGTGGCTCTGTGCCCCCACCTGGACATCAGGCATCATTTTTTCCGGGCCAGGAAGGCCACACCAAGAATCAGGGCCACAGCTGCCACAGCCACACCCCCAGCCACCAGCAAGGGGGTCAAGTTCTCACAGGGCCATGGACCTCGGCCCTCTGGCCCTCCAGCAGCAGACTCCTCCTCTGCTCCATCCCCAGGACCCTTGAGCTCTGGGGCTGCGTCAGGACTGCTGGGGGCCGGGGTTGCTGTGGGGGCCGGCTTCAGGTTGCTGTGGTTGCTGAGAAGGGCAGGGTCTGCCTTGGCTGAGGTCTTCTTGGCAGGAGCCGGAACGGGGGCTGCCGGCTGCTCCTGCTTCTCTGCTTGGGCCTCCTTCTTCATGGGCTTGGTCAAAGGGGCTTTCCCATCCGCAGCCGGAGTGGCCTTGGCCTCAGCAGTGGCCTGAGGCACCTTGGTGTCTGGCTTGGGGCTGCTGGCCGATTTTCCCCTGGACTCCATGGCAGGTGGTGCTGGCAGCTGGGTGGGGGCGAGTGGGACAGGCAGTGTCCAGACCACAGTGTCTCAGGACAGCCTGCCCCTGGGCATTATATGGGCCTGGAGGGAGACACAAGCCAGGCTGTGGCAAGGAACAGATGAGGTCCCCTCCTGGGTAGCCCTCACTACCTTTGACCCCTGGGGACTTCTCAGGACCTTGGACTCCCCAGAAGCCTCAACCTAAGAGCCTCCTGTGGGCTTCAGACCCTCCTCCCAAGGCCTGGTCTCTCTCTACTCCCAGTCACTCCCAGAGAAGCCCCTCCAGCCACTGAGGCAGGGATGTGGACTGAGTCCAGATGGGGCAAGGAGGGGCCAGTGAGATCCTCGTTGGTAAACATGTCTTGCCAGGGACATGTTGTGTCCATCCCATTGGTCACAGGTAGAAAAGCCCTGAGGGGAAGGGAGAATCCAGCCCTGAGGACAGGAAGGGGAGCATTTGGTCCAGGAGGGAAGATGGAGTCCTGGTGGCAGGGACAGCACTGAGTCCTAACACATCACCTCTCAGCAGGCACTGCTGTTTCACAAAGGGGATGCTGGGGCGCCTGGCCAGGGTCCACATGAAGGAAGTCTGGGCTCCCAGGCAGCTGTCAGGTGGGGAATTGGCTCAAGGCCTTTAGACTACAAGGACCTGATGTGATAAAGCCAAGGTCTCTCTCCCAGAGGCAACCACAGGCTGTGCCTCCTGGTGGCCATCTGCCCCTGCCAGCTTCTGGTGCGTTCTCTTTATACTGGGCTTAGCTCAAGGGTAAGAAGTCCTTGTTGAGCCTAAAGCGGTGCTTGCCTCTGGGGGCAGAGAGTCCTCTGGCATGAGCCCTGGGGGCCTGTGCTGTAGGAAAGGACTTGCCCAGTTTGTCAATGTCTGGCTGGGGAGAGAGCTCCCGGCCCCAAGACCCGGAGCCACCTTCCTGCCTCACCCTGAAGGGATGAGAAGTGCCCCGCCGAAAAGGAGAGCCAGTTTGGGAGGCTCAGCACAGGTTCCCCATCCCCACCAGGCCCAGTGACCACACTGAAGGTCACCTGAATGTCAAGCGCAGGATGGCATGTCCCGGTGAGAGGCCGGGCAGCTGCTCCACTTTTAAGAAACCCTTGCCCCTCCGACATCTGGAGTTCTGGAGGGGGCCCAGCTGCTGGAGGGGGCCTAGCTGCTGGGCATCCTTTGTAAAGGGCAGAAAATTGACTTCCCCTCATTATTTTCGGCTCACACTTATGTCCCCTTGACTGCCTCCCCGGAGCTGCTGATCCCGGGAGAGCAAGGGGTTTGCGCGCAATCCCAGTGACCTTCAAGGCCAGGGCACCGTTGCTTGCCCACCAGACCCAGCGCCCCCATTCCACCCACCCAAAGCCAGAGCCTACCGCCTTACGCAGTTGGTCGGGTTCCTGGCTCGGCCCTGAGCGCTCCCTCCGCGGGACGACAGCGGGTGGCGGCTGCGGACGCGTCGGAGAGCCCAGGAGTTTCCCACAATGCACTGCTCTGGGCTCAGGACGCAAGGACCAGCGCCGGGCGGGGCGGGCAGCAGCGACTGCAGCCACGTCATCAGGGCTCCGCCCCGTGCTCGGCACGCCCGCTAGGAACTCTGGAGCCCAGGGTCAGCGAGGAGAGGTGCCCAGGCTAATTTCCTGTACCCCATCCACATCTCGGGGCAGTGGGGAGGCCTCGCCGGCCCCTCTTCCTGGGTTCCCCTAGGCAGGTGGGATGGGCAGACCTAGGTCTGCCTGGGGAGGCGAGGACTGCCCTTCCCGCCCCATCACCAAAAAGACTTCCAGAAAGGAGAGTTCTATTTAGAATATTTATTTACCCTTTTACGTGACAAGACACAAAAAGTTACAACTCCTTAAAACTCTTCAAAAGAAAAAAAAATATAATTCTGTAAGCAGCAGCAGCAGCTTTCAAGGTACAGACATGATGGGAGGGAGCTCCCAGGAGCAACCGTGAACTGGGGGCCCAGACCTGAGCCCAGGTAGTGTCACTGGGAAGGGGCCTCCACAGAGGGAGCTAGGTTTTGGGGACACAGCACCAGCACATCAGGATCAGTCACCAACACAATCACATGGCTGGGGCAGGATAGGGAGCCTGCCTCAGTTCACAACACAGAGGGTTCCAGGGCTGGGAGGGGGGACTTTCTCAATGTGGTCAGGGGCCTTAACTAGAGGCCCAAAGAATAGGGTAAACCCTGGGAGGACTGGGGCAGCAGCTTCCACCCCTTTCCCATGAGCAGAGCAGGTGCCCCAGGCTTTATACTGGCCCTACTGTCTACCCTCTCCAGGGATGGGATCTCAGAAGACAGGATGGAGAAATTTTGTATGGGGTCAGCAGAGGGTCTGGGGTGCACACGGTGCCTGGCCACATGGGGAGGGGCAGCAGCCTCCCCACAGGCCATGAGAAGGCTGGCAGGCAAACCTGCTCCCCACCCCCCAAGCAGAGACCCTGAGCCTGGCCTGGGGTGGGACTGAGTGGCTCACCAGAAGATCCCACAGTGGGAGGGGGAGGGGGGCTTGTCCTGGAATCAGAACTCATGGTGGCTCCCCACCTGGGACCCCCAGTGCTATGTGGGGAAGAGGCAGAGTGGAATCCTGGCCAAGAGGAGAGCAGCAAGAGGGGATGGACCATGGACGGAAGGACAGGCAGGGCCACGAGGGCGCAGCAGTTTCAATAAATAGGTTTGTGCAGGTCCCCTTTGTAGACTAGGAGAACCTCAGAAAGGAGCCAGGGGCCTGGGGGGTAGGGTCCAGCCTGCCCAGCCCAGGCCTGAGGGCCCCCAGCCCAGAGACCAGCTCTGCTCCTGGGGGTGCTCAGGCCAGGGCAAGGCTGGGTCAGGGATTGGCTCCAGGAATGTAGAGATTTCTTCGTTTTCTACATAAATAAGACGTTGATCCCAATAGTTGTGCCTGCAGAACCCCATGGGGATCTCTGTGTGCACCACCCATGTGGACCCTGCTCCCCTACCCCAGCCTCCCCTGTTGGCCATGCAGGATTGTGGAGACCTTCTCTCACTCAATCCTGGGCTGGCACCCAACCCAGGCCACAGCCAACAGACTGGGGAGGGGCAACTGCTGGGTTCAGGCCTGGGGGCCCTGCAGCAGCCCCAACAGGGACTCTGCGATTCCCAGGAAGTAGACCACCTGAGCAATGCCAAACAGTGGGGCGATGACCAGGGCACGACAGTAGGCACCCTTCAGGAAAGCAGAAGGACCCTCGTGTTGCCAGATCTTCCTGTGGGGGAGGGGGGGTCAGAACTGGTGCCCAGCCCCCACCCCAGCCCCCACCCCTTGGGCCTGGCCCACCTGGCGCAGTCCAGAAACCCAGAGTAGGTGTCCTCATTAACGCCTCGCTGGAGAGACTGTAGACGAGTCTTCACCACTGCAAGAGGACATATGGGTCAGCCTGAAGCCTGCTCCCTGCCCCCTCAGCCCCACTCCCCAGCGTGGGCCCAGGGGAGCTCTGACCATCACATGGGTTAACTGCCACAGCTGCGGCACTGCCAGCCACACAGCCGGCGAGGAACGACACGTAGAAGGGCGCCTTCTCCTCTGAGGCAGGGCGGCCCAGCTGGTTCAGGTTGGCAAAGAGAGGGAAGTACACAATGGAGAAGGGTACATCCCTGCAGAGAGGAGGGGTGGAGCCAACCTTGGGCTGGGGAAGAGGGGAAGGAGAGGGGTAGCCACCCCCCACCCTCCCCAGAGAAGGGGCGGAGCCGACCTTGGGGCTGGGGAAGCAGGGATGGAAGGGGTGGTCCCTATGGAGAGGGGGGACTGGGCAGGTAGGCCTCTACCTCCTCCAGCCCGCCCGCCAGCCCTCCCACCTGAGCAGGGTGGCCCCCAGTCCCTTGTAGAGGCCAGCAATGCCATGGTTCCGCAGCAGGTCACGGGTTAGCTGGGTGGCTGTGGGCCGGGGAGCAGCAGGAGCCTCCACTGAGGGCTGGGTGGCCCCATGGGCCGAGAGCTGGGCCTGAGCAGCCAGCATCTTCTTCTGGGCAGCTGGTGAAAAAGGGACTTTGGTCTCTTCCTCCTGGCATGGTGAGGCAGGGGACAGGCCTGGCTGCTGACCCTATCCCTTGCTCCTCACCGATGCGGCCTGCATCCTGCAGCTGGATCTTCAGCATCTCCATGGGGGTGGTCACGATCACCTGGCAGGTGCCTGCCCCACAGCCAGCCAGCATCTCCTTAGGCAGGGTCAGCTTCTGCCTATAGTGGAGAGGCCACCTGCCATGAGGAGATGTGCAGGAACTGCATGCCCAATAGGCTGCCTGTGGAGGCTGGTGTGAAAGGGGTGTGGGTGGTGGAGGCAGATGTGGCTCCCTGAGGATACGGTCCCTAGCCTCAGGCCTCCAACCACAGACACCAACCCAAAAGACAGATGGCTCCTAGGGCAGGGGCTGGGGAAGATAGTGGGGTCATCTTCTCACAGAGAGAAATGAGAATTATGGTTCTGAGTACTCTGAAAGGGGGTCCCCCTTGCACCCCTACTCTTCAGTGATGGGGCAGCTGGTTGATGCCCCCAAGTCCTGCCAGCCATCAATGGCTGGTGGCCAACAGCCACTGACTCAGCGTCCACTTTGAGTCTCCCCATACAGGCTAGTCAGTCTACCCTGCAAGGTCACAGAAGTCAGAAAGGGGCCAGCTGGCGGGGCTGACTTTCATCACAGCCCCCAAGCCCCAGATCTTGACCCCCCAAGAGCCAGCAGGAAGGCCAAGCCTCTCACCCATCCTTAGAGAGCTGGTGTCGAAAGAAGTCATTGGCAGCCAGCTTGATGGCCTTCTCAGGGGTGACCAGTGTCAGGTTCACGGCGGCTCCTGGGGGACATTTGGGGGTCAGATGGGGCTGGTGGGGAGACATAGGAAGCCCTGGTGGGGGTGGACAGGCTCAGCAGCCTGGGCTGGGGAGGCCCTGGGCCAACACTTGCCTCCTAGTCAACCAAGCCCCACCCCAGGCACTACTGGCACCGCCTTCTGCCCTCTCACCCACATTAAGGCTGGTGTGTGCCAGGCAGGCAGGAACCAAGCAGGTTGGGCTGTGCTGCAGCCTCCTTCTAGCCCCCTTCCCTCCCCTTCCAACTCCATGTGTCTGACTCCGGCAAGAACTGGCCTTACTCGGCTGTAGGTGCAGGGGATCAGACCGGAGAATCCAGGCCCCCTGGCAGTCCACAGGTGTGTGTGGCCTGGATTGGTCAAAGCTAGGGGATGGGCAGCCCATCTCAGTGCAGGGCTCAGGGCTGCTCAGCATCTGGGCAAATCCAGCTCTGCTGGGATTGCTTCCTGAGCGGCTTTGCATAATGCCCCCAGTCTCCAGCTGCAGCTGCCATGAGAGGCAGATCATCTGCAGTGTCCTAGCAGAGGGGCTGAGGGCAATGCCCAGGCCAGGGGCTGAGAACTGCTATTTACCAGAGATCCAGCTCTTGGTCATCCAACCCCCGCTCACCCAGGGCTTGGCTAATGACCTCCACACAGGAGCAGCAGCACCCCAGACAACCCCCGCCACACACACCCCAGGTTCAGCCACACTGCTCAGCCCATGCTCTCTGCCCAGGCCATGGGAGGTGCCACCCAGACCCAGCCCATCCCAAGCCTCACCCCGGTACATGCCGAAGTAGCCCTCAGAGCGGATGGTCTTGATAAGGCAGTCAGACCTGCAGCCAAAGGGGTTAGGGGGTGAGCTGGGGGCCAGCTGGCGACCCCTGTTCTCCAGTGCAGATGCTGGCCAGCTCCTTTCCTGCCCAGCCTGGAGTGTCCAGGGCTAAGAGAGAGGCCAGTCAAAAGCCTCCACACTGACTCCTGGCCTAGAAGGGATCTCTCCAGGCTGTCCTGCCCTGTTTCCCCATCAAATGGCAAAGGGCTCAAGGCACAGCTTCCCTGCGTGCCTCCACACACTGCCGGTGGGGCATACTCACATGCTCGCGTACATGCGCTGGCCATTCTGCTGGTTCTGCAGCCTGGTCTTGGCCAGGTCGATGGGAAACACACAGGTGACCCCAATCAGCCCAGCGATGCCGCCATTGATGAGCTTTGCTGGCAGGCTGTGTAGGCAGGGCCAGGGTCAGCACACACTCCCTCCACCTGTGGTGGGGCTGTGTGGCTAGGGCTGAAGCCCAGGGTGGGGTCAAGTCTGACCTGATCTGTTTATCAGCCATTTAACTGAAGCACACCCGGGCAGGAGCAGGAGAGGTGGACGCCAGGAGGTGGAGGTGGTGACAGGAGAAGGGGGGCGGCAGCTGCGATGGAGGGTAGGACCAAGTGCAGGGGTGATCCTCCAGTTCAGGGGCTTCAAGGCAATGGCCACCACTTCTGCCTGGGAAAAAAGAGGGGACAGGAATCAGGAGGGGGGCCCATCATGGGAAACAGCTTCCCCCACCCTCCACCTCAGGCTCTGCGTCAAGCTCCCCACCCCCCACCCCAGAATGGAGTCTTAACATGTCCTGAGGATGCACAACAGAAGGAGGGGAGGTGGTGCCACCTGGCCCCTCCCCGAGGCCACCTGGTTCCCCCTCAGTGCCCTCCTCACAGTGTCTCCCGGCTGGCACAAGCTCACAAATGCACACACTCATGCTCACGTGCACAAGGGGAAGCTCCAGCTTTTAAAGGGCCAGGCACCTCTGAGAAGCAGTGGCACCTTGAGCCTGGACTGGACTGTGGTGACCATTTCCCCAGCTTTGAACAGAGGCAGCTGTCCCCTACCCTCTTCAGGATGGGGCTGGGGTCTTCACCCTAGGACCCCCCACCTAGGTGAAGTTCATGGCTGCCCAGATGGACTTGGCCATCCCAGGGACAGTCCCCAAACCCCATGACAGTCCCACTCAGGACTGCAGAGTCTCCTCCCCAGGGAAGCACAGTGCCCACCCACACCCAGCCCATTCCCCACCCTCCTCTCCAACCTCTGAGTTTCACTCCCAGACACAGGAACTCGCTGACCAGCACCGCAGAGAGCCTCGGGAACAAAAGGCACGAGAGTGGCCTGGGAAATGGCTGGCCCCCAGGGGACTTTAGGACCCCATCTCCTCTAGGGCTGTGGAGAAAAGGGCCTCTCCCACTAGCAGCAGGACTCGGGAGACAAGCGTCAGCTTCAGGGGCACCATGGGGGACATGGCCATAAAAACTGAACTGTGGAGGGCATCCTGGAGTCTGTCCGCTCCAACTTTCTGTGTTTCCCCCAGTTCTCCTCCGAGGTCAGCTGGCTTATACTCCAGCACAGCTGCCCAGGGTCATACTGCTGGCTCATATCCTCGGGCCCTGCAAGGACTCATGACCTTCACCTTGCTGGGCTGTCCACAGCCTCCTGGGCTCCACCACTCCCACCACCTGCTGGGTCCTGCTTACCCCTGAGGTGCACAGAGAGCTCCTCCACGGCTCCAGCAAGCTGCCTCTGGGAGGAGATAAGGAGCTGCCAGCCAAGGGAGGAGGGAAGGGACCTAGGGATTGGCCACAGGCTGGGGCGGGGCCTGGCTGGGGGGGGACTTTCTCTTTCACTTTGGGCAAGCTGGGGAATCCCTGCAGCTTCAGGAGAAGGGAAGAGAAGGGGTGAGACTGCTTCAGGAGCAGGGCTGGCTTGGACTGGGTGACAAGGGGGTCTGACACAGGCTGGCTGGGCGGGTTCCTGTCTGTAGCCTGTGAGATGAACCAGGATCTGTCTAGGGTTCTGGAACCCCAAGGGCTGGGGTGCTCTGTGCCCCGGCACCCTTCGTGCACCTGCAGGTGTACCCTGTGGAGAGGTGTCAGCACACGCTCAGCTGTGGTGTGTCTGTTGAGGCAGGTGAACGTCAGTGGACCTGACAGTGGGATTCAGGAAGGCATGCCCGTCCACTGGCAAGGGCAGGGAAGGGTGCCTGGGTCTCAGAGGTCACTGGATGCCCTCCACAGGCCCTGCTTACCTGGCAGGTCCAGAGGGCATGGAAGCTGACACTCCCAACACTGCTCTGGTCACCATCGGCACACCCAGAACCTCAGTGGTGAACTACCTCTCTCAGCCCAGTTCTTGACCTCTGAACTTCAGCCTGACTCCTCTGTACCCCTCCCCACCCCCTCCAGGTATAGACTGGCCACAGCCAGCTCACCCTGTTGCTAGCCTCAACTCTTCCTAGGAGCCCCTGCCCTTCCTCCAGGATGGAGTGAGCCCACCCAGCCTCCCTGAGCAACCCCTTTCCTCCCCAGATCCTACCTCAGGAGGCACACCTGGGTGTTGGGGTGCCAGAGTCTGACAACCCAACTGGAGTGGGGAGGGGAAGAGTGACACAGGCCCCCACATCCCAAGGGCTGAGTCAGCCCTGTGCCCTACACCATGCAGTGCAGGCCAGATCATCAGGGAGGAGCTACTGAGCTGACAGTGAGGGGCTCTGCCTGGGAAAAACTGGGAGGGGGCTCTGGACCGACCCCCCCCCCCTTTTCTCTCTTCACTCCTTGGTTCCACCCTGCCTGAGACAGCTGTCAGTCAAGGTCCCACCCCCAGCACCTTCCCTGTTGCCACAGAAACCTGGCAGCCCAGCCAGGCCTGAGGCACCAGAGCCAAGTCTGGCCACCCCAACTTTCCAGTCAGGTACCCGAGGCTGCAGGCAGCCTGATAGCAAGGGAGCATACAAAAGCCACCCCCATGCCCTGCAGGACCCCACTGCTTCTTCCCTGACCCACAGGGGTGAGATCTGCCTACTGAAGCTGCCCAGCTTCCCGTACCCCTGAGAAAGGCTATGGGGCCAAGGTTCAAGAGTGGGAACCGGTTCAACTCCCCCCAGCCTTCCTCTTGGGAGGGTCTTTCTGTTCTGCTGGCTGGAAGGGCCCTGAAAGGGTCTCCAATTGTGAAGTACACCAACCCGGGACAAAGGAGGACCGGGTTGGAGGCTGCATGCTGTGATCCCGGCAAGCTCAGACCCTACTCCGTAGTTGGGGTTCAGCTGGCCTTGATGACCCGGATTCTGGCCATTTACATGTGCACGCAAGATCCGTGAGGTCCCATGTGTGCGCCCCCCACAGCCTGGCTCCTCCTTCCGGGGCTCCAGCTTAGACTTTCACCCCGCGGGGACACGTGGACACGTGTGCACAGGGAGCGCGCCCGGAACCGCGGGGCCGAGCACGGCCTCCCACACCCTGGCGATGGTGGATCCGAGCATCCGCCGGGCTGGGCCCTACCGGGGCCGCCTTGTCCGGGCAGCTGTCACCTCACCCAGCCACTCTGACACCCTCTGTCCTCGCAGCCCAGTTGCGCTCAGGTGGGCGACCACGAGACCCACCCTCCGGGCACTCACCGCACTCCGCCGGCTCGCCTCCCCGCTGTGCCGCGCACCCGGCCTGCACCTAGGCAGGGAGGCGCGTCCGCTCTGCGCCGCGCGCGCTCCGCCCCCAGGCCGGGGCTGGCTCTCGGGCTTCGGCTCCCCCTCCCGGCCGCCATGGCCACTGCGCCCAGCCAGGCCACAGTCCTAGCCCAAGACCACCCCTCCCTGCAAGTAGAACGGCAAAGCCGGGATTCTGCGCGTCCCCAGGGCCCTTTAAGAACAATGACCCATGTCTGATTAGGTGGCAGGGAGCACGGTGGATGAGGGCATCCTGGGGGAGGAGGGGGTTCCCAGCTCAGCCAGGAATAAGCCTGCCAAGGCTGGTGGGCTTGGTGGATGCACAATCACAAAACCACACAGGTGACTTTGTATCCATCTCTGACAGAATCGTTACTTTGTAGAGTCAGCTCCTCTCCACTTCTGGGAAGATCAGGACCACAGGCAATAGGCATGGTCTGAGGGAGGGGCCGGAGCAAAGGCCATGGGAAGACTGGGCATACAGAACCCCCTCCCAGTAGAGGCTGGGCCTCAGCTAGCCTGGCCCTGCCTTCCCGCCAACTGCCTCTCCACCTGGTGGACCAGCCGAGCTCTGAGACGGCAGATGGAACAGTACAGGTTTACATCGCCCCCAGACAGGGGAGAGACTTGAAGGTCGAGCTCTGCCAGGGGCCAGGCCAATGTCCAGAGCCTGCTGGGCTTAGGCCTGGGCAGGCTCTGTGGACTGTGAGGCTGATGTGCCTGGCAGAGCAGAGTCCTCTGCAGCCAGGCCCGTACGGCGGATGCTGTCCTGGTACTTGTGGCGGCCGAGCTCCAAGATGGCCCGTACTTCTTCAGCCACATCCTGCCGGTCACTCTGCTCCAGGGCCTGCAGCAAGAGCTCCACAGCCCCTGGCTGCCCAGCCTGGCGCTCTGCCCAGGAGAAGAGCATGTGGCGGATTTGCCCGTCCAGGTCGTCCCTTGGAGAAGGGGGGTAGTGATCAAGGGGGTCACAGACCCTCATAAAGGGTTCCTTGCGCTGTGGGCCAGTTGTGGCCAAACCCTCCCTTTCCAGCCTGGAGCTTGTCCCGGCCTCCTTGAAACTTCTGCCAGAAATAAGCAGGAACAACTTGGTGATCAGGGCCTGGCCCTGAGGCTGCATGGGCTTCAGTGGGAGGCTCACCGGAACTCATGCCGGATGCGCTGCAGCTCTCGGTAGGGCATGCCCAAGTGCAGGGCCACGGCTGGCCAGTCGGGACCCAGGCGCCCAGCCACACTCAGCAGGTTGCTCTGAGTCAGAAAGCCAGTCTCAGCGTCGCCCAGGTTCAGGGGTGCCAGGGAAAGCCTGGCCCCCTTCCCGTGACCCTTGAGCCCCTGAAGTCTCTGTCAGAAGGAGCAGAACAGTGAGCCCTGACCCCACCCTTACATCCCTGGTTACTCCCAGGACTCTGTCCCTCCCCACACCCACTGCTCCCCAGCCGCACCGGCAGCTTGATAGGCAGAGTGGCCATCCAGAGGGCATCTGCACCCTTCCTCTGCCGGGCAGCCTCAGCCTCTTGGGGTACCTCCACAGGCACTGAGCCCCGATAAAAGGACACCTGAGGAGAGATCAGATGAGTTTCAGACCTCTGGCCTCTGCCCAGGTGACCTGGGTCTCCTACCCTGTTGGCCCACCTGGCCTCGCACCGCCTGAGCCTCCCGATCCAGAGCTGTGGTGATGTAAACTTCCTTCACGTTCTTCAGGTGAGAGTAGAACACAAAGCAGACCCTGCCCTCCACACAGTCTGGGCGGTCTGGGGCACGAGACAGGCTCAGCAGGGCAGGCGGGAGGGCAGACCCCAGGCCCTCCTGGGGAGGGAGACTTACCAGCATCCACGTCAATGCCTCGCTCGAAGGCAGCAAAGAACTTCTCGCCCTCAAACATCTCCACAGTGTCAGAGGGCTCGGGCCCTCGATAGCGCTCCAGCAGCCGGCGCAGGGTGGCATCCACCTGCAGGGACACCCCCGTAGTTTAGACCCCAAGCTCAATGCTCCCCCCCAGGGTTTGGTCTCCCTGCTGCCCTCCTGCCATCCCCACCTTGTTTCGGGGCAGGCACTGCAGCAGGACCTGCTCGGGGTCCCGGCGCCTTTGCAGGGCAATGAGGTTGACTTGGTGCAGCCGTAGCCGCTCCCAGGCCTTCCGCGCCAGGCCCCCCACACAGGTCTTGGTGGTGTACCAGAGCCAGTACCTGGGAGGGTCAGTGGTGAGATGCACTGTGCAGACCAGACTGGGGGAGGGCAGGGAGGGGGACCTAGCGAGCACTGACCAGGAGAAATGTGTGACCTGGAAGCGTGCATACAGATGAGTGAGCTCCAGCACCACCTGAGCCGTGATGTCATCCCAGGTGGCTGCAGGAGGGGCCCAGTACAGCAGGTGCAGGCGGGAGTGGTCCAGGCTGAAGCCTAGACAGGAAAGGGCAGCAGGCTGAGGTCTCTAGCTGGCCCTTCCAAGCATTGTCTCCTCTTCCCAATGGCACAGTGACCTCTCACCTGTGACACCAGGGGGCAGGGGTAGCTGCACCGTAACTGGCTGGAGGAAGCTGGGGGGACCACTCTGTGAGAGGCATAGCAGGGGGCTCACCGCAGCCTCTGGCTCCCCTAGAAGGGCGCGCAACTCTCGGCCAGCCATGTGCACCACCTGTGCAGACAGCCATCTGAGCACCTGCCTGGGCGCCATGCTGTCACCTGATACCCTTGGTGCTACGCTGGCTATACCTGCATGGAGACATGACGAGGCTCCTCGGTGGCCCCAGGGGGGAAGGTGACCTTGACCCCAGGATGACCTGAAGAGCACAGCAGTGTCCCCTCTGGAGGTACCAGGCAGGCATTGGATACAGGGCGCAAAACCACAAGGAACCATGAGAAGTGGGGCACCTGGCAGCGAGCCCAGAGCCGCTGGGACACACAAGGGGGACAGATCAGGGGAAGAGAGTCAAGGCAGAGATGCCACTCCCTGCCTCCCCTCACCCAAAGGCCTGGGCAGCCTCACCTTGGGTGCCTCTTCCTCTAGGTGGGTCTCCAGGTCACTCCAGCTATTGTCCCTGCGGGTTCTGACCACTACCTCATGGCAACGACGGGCCCGTGGGGGGACAAAGAGCAGCCACAGGCTCACATCCTGCCAGGCAATGGTGGTGTGAGGGCTGGGGCCAGGCCTGTGGCCTCCAAACCTGCCCCCCCACTACCCTGGCCATGCCTGCTGAAAAGCCACCCCATGGGGCCACAGCTCCAGGACACCGCTGAGCAGGGAGTCATGAGGGCCCAAGGAGACGAGTGCTGGTTCCGGCAGCCACAGTCGATAGTGGACAGTGATGGGGGTAGTGGTGGCCCCCGCTGGGAACCGCAGGCGGACGCCACAGGCCAGAGTTACAGAACAGCCTTGGGGGGTCACAGGGAAGCTGAGTGAGGAAAGGGGTGTGGGGTCAGACACAAGATCTGTGTCAGAGCCTGGCTCCCTAGGACTCCTGACACACAGGCAAAATGTCCAGAATAGCCTGGGTGACAGGGTGGACAGATCTCCTTTAGCCCTCCTTTCCCACTTCATACCTGTCCAAATCTGAGGTCAGGAACAGTTTCGGCATTTCAAGAACTTGGGGTGTGCCTGCACAAGGGACAGATGAGTCATCAGGACAGCAATGTACCTGTGTCCTCTCTGCCTGGCTCATCCCTACACCAAGCCTACCTGGAGGACTCAGAGAATCTGGTGAGGCCTCACCCAGGGGGTTCCCCTGTAAGCGCACAAAGGGTGCATCTAGTAGCTCAGGAGGCAGGTGCCGGAGCTGGTTGTCCCTCAGGTCAAGCCGGGTGAGCAGTGGGAGATGGGCCAGACCAGCAGGCACTGAGGTCAGGAAGTTGCTGTGCAAAACAAGGAGCCGCAGGGACCGCAGCCCCACTGCAGCAGGTGCTGACTCAGGCTGGGCAGAGGACCACTCAGGGCCACCTCTGGCCCTGGGGCTCTACAATAGGACACTCACGCCACAGCCCCAGGGAAGCTGTTACAGGTCCACCTCTTGGTAGACAAGGCTGCCCAGGTCAGCCTGGGAGGAGTGACAGCTAAAAGGCAGGAAAGCCTGTGGGTGCAGGGTCTCCTGTGGAAGAGGAGAGGAGCCACAGCCCAAGCCTGCAGGGAAGAAATGGGTAGGGGTGCTACTTCTTGGACTAGTGAGCCAAGTCATGGATGCCGCTGCTACTCACCAAGGGAGACAGGGAGGCTCTGCAGCCGGTTGGAAGCCAGGTTGAGTTCAGTGAGGTTGCTCAGGCCTCCAATCTCAGGAGGAAGTGTGTCCAGAAGGTTCTCTGAGAGATCAAGTTGCTGCAGGGCAGACAGGGCCCCCAGTGCTGGGGGCAGCTTTTGCAGGCAGTTGTGTGTCACAGTGAGGAAGGTGAGAACATGGAGAGCACCCAGGGTCTCAGGGAGCACTGACAGGCGGTTATGAGAGAGAAGGAGCGTGTCCAGGCTGCGCAGCTGAGGGACACAGGCTGGCAGTGTCTCCAGTTTGTTGAAGCTCAGGTCTAGGTGGACCAGGTGGGCCAAGGCACTCAGGCCAGTGGGCAACGTGGTCAGGGTACCCTGGAGGCAGGCACCCAGGGCACCCCGATGTTGCCCCCCTGGAAGTGGTAGAAGCAGATGTAGCCCTTAGAACCACCCAGTCAGCCCTGCTAGGCAGAGAAAGCCACTTGATGAAAGGCACAGACCTGCCTGCTAAACCCAGAGACACTGAAAGGAAGATGGGAAGAAAAGATGAAACCATCAGCAACGTCAACTGACAGTTTGGCCCAACCTACCCAGGGACATCTGGGGTCTTTGGAGAGGCACCATGGGCAACTCTAGGCCCGGAGCTGGGGACAAAGGCCCAGCCCACTTTACACTGGGAGGAAGGTGAAGGGGCTGAGGACAGAAGGATGAGAAGCCTGTAACTGCAGCTGGGACCAGGGTTGCCTCTGAGGACCAAGAAGCAGGGCAGAGCTAGAGATGGGACAGGATCAAGAACAAGGGGGCTTACCTTTGAGGACCAAGGAGCGGAGGTGTGGCAGGTTCCCCGGCACCTGGGCCAGGGTGGCTTCCAGCAGTTGAGGGTCCTCGTGGGTGCTCAGCCGTAAGAACTCTACCTGCAGCAGCTGCTGGTGGTGTTGGGCACACAGGTGCAGCAGCTGGTGGCAGCCCTCGGGGTACAGGTCCAAATTCAGCCGATTCCCAGCCAGGAAGGGAGGTGCCCCAGGTCCTGCATCCACAGACTCCACAGCAGGTCTTGGAGCATCTTTTGAGGCAGCTGCAGCTTCTCTGGACTCCAGCCCCTCCGCCACTGCAGCCATCACTCAGGGATGGTCCTTGGGGGCCAGACATGTCCCAGCTTGCCAGGCAGACCTGCTCAGACAGGGCCCAAGGAGGCTGCTAGAAGCAGAGGGAGGAATAGGCAGGAGTGGGGGCTGGGCCCCTCCTCCGCATCAGGGGAACAGGGACCCTGGCTAGGGATGGGGAGCCCTTGAGCTGGACAGAGTGACCCTCCCCGCACAGGGGAGCCCACTGAGGGAGGAAGAGGAGTGAGGTACCACTCTCTAATTCTGAAATCTGGCCAGGTGACCACCTAGGCCTGACAAGTCACCCAGGCTGTCCCCCTGCTCTGGTGATAAGAGCCCATGTTCCTTAATTCATTTACTTGTGATACTATGGACTGACCCCAGGGATGTTCTACTACTGAGCTACATCCTAACCCCTTTCTATTATTTTTTTTAAGTTGCTCAGGATGGCCTTCAACTTGCAATCCTTTTTCCTCAGCCTCCCGAGTCGCTGGGATGACAAGCTGTGCCAACCCGAGAGCCCGCCTTCAACCTTCACACCCATCAGCTCTGGGGGGCCCAAGATCCCAGAACGCTGGAGCAGTGAGGGAGGAAGCCAGTGATCCTAGGCACAGACTCCACTTAGCAGCCACGGGAGGAGGCTCTCCCACCGCCATTCCAGTTCACCCCTCCGTCCGCTGGAGGAGGCGGTGCAGGGAGTATTTAGGGTTCCGCAGCCCTGCCCTCTCCGCAGAAAACTTCCCGCCGCCTCGGGCGCCTATACCTGGGCTCCAGGCTGAGCGCGCCCCGAGTGCCAGCCGTTCCGCGCCGGGATTCCCGCCCGCGCGCTTCCGGGCGGGAGGGATGCCGGGCCCGGGCCCGCCCCCTCCAGCCCCGCCTTCCCGGTCTACGCCGCAGGCCGTCGACCTCCCCTGCCGAGAGTCTGCGCCCCGGGGAAGGCGGGCTGCCGGGCAGTGTCGCCCGGGACCCCGGTGCATGTCAGGGCAGCGTTTCTCGGGGGAACTCTTGGCCGATGGCAGATCGCAGCTGCGCTCCACACTCATCCCTTGCTAGACACTGGAAACCTGGCATGCCCGTCTCCAGTCAGCCCCAAGGCCTTTCTCCAGGAAGCCTTCCAGGACCTCCTCTCAGGTCCTACAGAGATCTAACTCGGCCTCTGCTCAGATGACCCTCCTAAATTTATGGGCATCATTCTGGGCCAGGTGCCCCAGGCGCACGGTTGCCTGATGCTGCCTCCCTAAATCCTCCTGTGAATATCACAAGGGAGGAAAAGCAGGCTCCTAGAGATGAGATTTTGTCCAAGCAGGTGAGTCTCAGTGCCTCCCCCACCAACCATGAGCCCCCCCATTGAGGATGGGTCCGTGCTTCTTTCACCCAGCACGCTTGTCAAGTAGAGAAGATGGTCTGGAAATGAACAAAGCTTCTACTACCAATTAACCATGTTACATGCACCATCTTCACTGCACCCCCTGAGCCACCACCATCCCACCAATGGGGATGGGCAGTCTCCTACAGGACTCCCTGCTTCCAATATTCCCAGCCCCTGCCTCGCATTGTTTCTCCCAAAGCTGTCAGAGGGATTTAATTTTAATTTTTATTTATTTATTTATTCTAAGATTTATTTTTCAGTTTTCGGCAGACACAACATCTTTGTTTGTATGTGATGCTAAGGATCGAACCCGGGCCGCACACATGCCAGGCGAGCGCGCTACCGCTTGAGCCACATCCCCAGCCCCTAATTTTTATTTTTAAAATATTTTTTAGCTGTAGTTGACACAATATCTTTCTTTCTTTCTTTCTTTATATGTGGTGCTGAGGATTGAACCCAGGGCCTCACACGTGCTAGGCAAGCGCTCTACCACCGAGCCACAACCCCAGTCCCCAGAGGGATGTTTTTAAAACTCAATCACAGGAATATTGTTCAGCCTTAAGAAATCAACTTCTGATACATGCTATAGAATAGATAAACCTTGGAAAATGTAGAATAAAAGAAAAAGCAAAAGGAACAAATCCTGCATGTTTCCCCTTTTATGAAATGCCTAGTCAAAAATCATAGAAACAGCAGAATGGTGGGTGTGAGGGGCGGAAGAGTGCAGTAGGTATAGCTTCAGTTTGGGATGATGAAAAATGTTCAGAGATGGATTATAGTGATGGTTATGTAACAATGTGAATGCATTTAATGATACTAAATTGTACACTTAAAAAATGGTTAAAATGGAGCTGGGCGCAACAGTGTAGGCCTGTAATCCCAGAGGCTTGGGAGGCTGAGACAGGAGAATTGCGAGTTCAAAGCCAGCCTCAGCAAAAAGTGAGGCACTAAGCAACTCAGTGAGACCCTGTCTCTAAATAAACTACAAAATAGGGCTAGGGATGTGGCTTAGTGATGGAGTGCCCCTCAGTTCAATCCCTGGTACCAAAGAAAAAAAGGTTAAAATGGCTAGATGAGGTGGCCCACAGCCCATGGCTGTAATCACACTGACTTGGAAGGCTGAAACAGGAGGATCCCAAGTTGGAAGTCAGCCTGAGTAATTTAGTGAGACCTTTGGTAACTTTAACAAAACCCTGTCTCAAAAAAATAAAAAGGGCTGGGGATGTGCCTCAGTGGTAAAGTACCCTGGGTTTAGTCCCCAGTAGTAGAAATAAAAATAAAATGTTAAAGGGGTGGGCTGGGAATACTCAGTGGTTCAGTGTTTGCTTAGGTTTAAAAATCACATCCTACCACCTCCCCATACAAATGGCTTCCCTTTGGAATTGCCAAGGCTCCTCATTGCCAAAATGGTCTCCCTATTTTAGCTCAGTTATGGGACCTTGAGCAAGAAAACCCTTCTGCATCCATCCTTCCTCCTCTGAAATGTAGGTAAGTACTGGGGGACTTAAATGTGGGGCTCACACACCAGCCAGTAAGGCACTATACACAGGAGAGCTTGCGCTGTAGTTGTGAAGCCATAATTAGGCAGGCAGTCAATATAGACAGGTAAATCAAATTAGGTCAGATCAAGGAGGCCAATTTTGAGTGAGTCCAGCCAGAAGGAGACTGTCCCAGGAGGGATTGAAATGTTAATTCCTTCAGAGCCCTTGCTCTAACCTGTTGCTAAGGTAACCAGTCCCAGGAATTGCCCCTCCCTACTATAAGGAGCTGTAAGGTTGTTAAGTGTCCTGTGCTCTCCATCCATTCCTGCCCTTCCCCCTTCAGTCCACCAGTGTCCTACCTTTCGGCCATCCCACCAGCATTCCTGGGCCTAGTCACGGACACAGGAAGGAGACAGATAAGGGGAAGAGAGCAGAACAGAGGAAGCCTAGGACACAAAAAAAAGGGCAGAAGACCTCGCTTCTTGGGATACCAGCTATGGCCCCCTTCTCCCTCCAGGGAGAAGTCTGTTAACCCTTTTTAAATAGACCCTACCCTATATGCTTGCCTCAGTGTGCTTCTCTAATATTCAAACTTCAACATGTGGAGAAACAGAGCTCGTCACCGATAACCGGTGGTATAGGGGAGCACTCCCAAGGCTGGCGCTGTCACTCACTATCCCCTGCCACCTTCCAGCCTTGGCTTCTGATCCCTCTGCGGGGTCCCCGCCCCAGGGAGCTGGGTCAGCCTTTCTCATCTCTCAGCCTCAGGAAAGCTTTCCCAGGCTGTCCAGACTCCTTACGACCCTCTCGCCGGGATGGCCTCTTCTGTCCTCACACAGGCCCAGCCTGTTCCCGCTCAAGACCCCAGTGTAGCAGAATTCCAAAGGGGCGAGTGAGTAGCATGTGCTGAAGACCACGTGGACACTGTAGTCAGTTCTCGGCCCACAAGGGGACCGGTCATTCTCTGGGACCACGCTCCCAGAGGACGTGGGTGACGGGGCCTCAGGACTGTCCCCGCCTCGTGGGCTCGCGCTCTCCCAGCCGGCCGTCTGACTCACAGGGCACGGCGGGGCAGGCGCTGCCTCCAGATAGGGCGCGGGTCACTAGGCGCGAGGCGGCCAGCCTACCTCTTACGCCCCGGGCCTCCGCCAAGGCACGGAGCCGCCCGCGCCCGCAGCCGGGCCGGGCCCACGTGCCGGGCCTGGCCCGTGGCGCACGGCACTTCCGCCGCGGTGCACCACGGGACTGTAGTTCGCCGGCTAAGGGAGCGGCCCAGCGAGGCGGCCGCGCTGCACGACGGGGGCCGCAGGCGCTGCGGGGCGTGCCGGGAGCGCTGGGCGCCGACGGACACGCCGCCCCGCACGCCGCCGCTCGGGTTCCAGGGAGACGCGCTCATGCCCCAGGAGGAGCCGGCCCCGGAAGCGCTCTTGACCCTGCCGCGGCGACTGCCCAAGCGCGGATGAGGCTGTCTCCGGCCTGTCGTCATTGGCCGAGCGCTCGTTACGTCATCAGAAGCGCCCCGCGGCCCGGAGGCTTCTGGGTATCAGTTTACCCCCGCCCCTTGCGCCGGCGCCTTCCTTTCGCTCCCTGCCGCCGCCGAGGTCGCACGCGTGAGGCCAGTCCGCCGCCGCCGAGTGAGTGGGCCCGCTGGGCCCGGACCGCGGTCGGGGGCCGGGGCTGCGGGGCGGGCGGAGGGCGCGGGCCTCGCGGCCCCGTCGGGCGGGAGCCTCGGGACCGGGCCGCGCACGGCCTCCTCGGGCGGCGCGGTGGGGCCCGGAGGCCGGAGGCCGCCGGGGTAACGCTACCGCCGCGCCCTGTCTGCCCTCAGCAGCATGCGCTACGTTGCCTCTTACCTGCTGGCCGCCCTCGGGGGCAACGCCTCTCCCAGCGCCAAGGACATCAAGAAGATCCTGGACAGCGTGGGCATCGAGGCGGACGACGACCGGCTCAACAAGGTACGGCCCTCGCCGCCCAAATGCCCCACCTGGCTCAAGCGAGATGACCCGCTGGAGAAACGGAGGGTGGCCTGTGCCAGTTGGGATGGTTATATGGGGTTAAAAAGTTTTTTTGCTGAGGTTGTGGCTCAATGGTAGAGTGCTTGCCTTGCACGCGTGAGGCCCTGGGTTCGTTCCTCATAAATAAATAAAGGTTTTGTATCCATCTTCAACTAAAAAAAAATTAACTTTTGTTTTCTTTTTGTAATTTTAGATGGACGGAAAGCCTTTTGTTTTGGTAGTTTATGTGGTGCTGAGGATGGAACCCGGTGCCTCACGCATCTTAGGCAAGCACTCAGCCCTAGCCCCCACCCCCGTAGGCGCAGTGGATCTAACCCAGGGCTTCTTGCCCATTAGGCAGGCGCTCCATCGTGGGGCTATTTCCCCAGTCTAAAAAACAATTAAAAAAAATTTTTTTTTTCTATGCTGGGTGTTGAACCCTCCTTTTGAGCTACACTTCCAGCTCCTTTTTTGTTTGTTTTTTTTTTTTTTTTTTTTTTTTTAGATAGGATCTCCTGAGTTGCTGGAATTACAGGTCTGTACCACTTGTCTTTTGGAACTGGGGGGTCGAACCAAGGGCTTTGTGAATGCAAGGCAAACGCTTTGCCACTGAGCTACATCCCAGCCCCACCCTGCTTATTTAAAATGTAATGTAAGTACTTAGTTTAAGCAAGGAGGCAATCTGTGTTATTTTTCCAGTGAAAGCTTTAGAATTCTGGCACTTGGTTTCAGTTCACAGTATTTCAGTTCCAATGGCTACCATGCTGGTCACTGTGGGTCTAGAAACTGCAGGTTTTCTTGTGCCTGCCATCCCTGCTCTTGGGCCAGGATGCAGCAACTTGACTCTGATAACTGACTGCTGGCTGTGGTTGTCTTGTTTAGGTCATCAATGAGCTGCATGGGAAAAACATTGAAGATGTCATAGCCCAGGGTGAGTTTATATGAAGGGACTTTCATTTTCATGTCCATCCTAATTCCTGCTGGTCAACCTATGGCCTGCCAGGTTTCGCTTGTGGACTAGAACACTGTAGAAGCCTGACCTGAGTGGGTGAGCAAGGCCTTCATGGACTCATGCCGGGGATGCTTCTGGACACTGATGAGTGGGTGGTAGGGGTTGCCCTCTACTCACACTGAGCCTGTCAGCCCTTGCCCAGGGGCCTGCCTGGCTTCCCACCTTTGAACCCTTTTCTCCAGGATTCCTCCAAAGCTGTGGAGCTCTTGCACACAGTTCCTGCTTCTCTAAGGGGTTGGGAGCAGGAACTGAGGGCCACAGGGTTCTGTTCCCCTTCACTGAGCAGATGGTTTTCTGGTGACATTAGACTGGAGCTGATGTAGCTTATTTGGAAGTTGAGTGGTTTCAGCAGTTCTGTCCCTGTTTATGTGACAAGCAAAGCCAGCTCAGCAGTCTGGTTTATAAGTTTACTGCTGGGGCCGAGATCTGGACACTTGGATAGTAGACTCCCTGAACAGTTGTAAACATGTTAGTCCAGCTTATGTCCAAGGCCTAATTATAAGATCAAGTTCTTGGGTAGAAAACCTCCCTTTGTGGGTCACGGTAGTGAAAGCAGAGTCCCTGACCATGAGTGTCACTGAATTCTTGGGCAGGGCTGCAACATCAAGTCCTGGAGAAAAGGGAAGCCTGTGGCACTGGCACTGTGATGGAACCCTGTTGTGTTGGGCACACTAGAGTATGTGGGTGAAATGAGCTTCCTCAGGTCACTTCACCCCTGCAGAATCACCTTCCTGCCTGGGAACCTGCTCTGATCTCATCTCTCTGCTTTTTATAGGCATTGGCAAACTTGCCAGTGTGCCTGCTGGAGGAGCTGTGGCTGTTTCTGCTGCCCCTGGCTCTGCAGCTCCTGCTGCTGGATCTGCCCCTGCTGCAGGTAAGGGAGGCCTGGAGAGTGGGAAGGGGGCTAAGGCTGGGACTTGATGGGGTCTCTCTGGCAATCTGGTCATGCAGGCATGCTCACCATGGTCTCCTTTTCCACAGCAGAGGAGAAGAAGGATGAGAAGAAAGAAGAGTCTGAGGAGTCTGATGATGACATGGGATTTGGGCTATTTGATTAAATTCCTGTTCCTCTGCAAATAAAGCCTTTTTATGTATCTTGAGTGGCCCGTGAGCACAGTGTTGAGAGCATGGGGCAGGTGGGGCTTGGCAGTGTCTAGGGAGTGAGGGCTGGAGGAGTCAATCCACCTTGGGTCAGAGGACTGTCAGGCCCAGTGAGGGACAGTCTTGCTACTTTCAGGTAACACCCAGGAAAATTTCTTCAGAAATGTGAATACCAGAGAAGCAAATTGAGATGCAGTGTTGGGGTGGTGTCTGGTGCTCTGCTGTAAGGTGCTGGGTGACAGGTCAAATGGCCCCTGGGTTTCACAGGCCACTGCTCGCCTGTACAACTTGGGCAGCTGCTGAAATCCCTGGGGTCTGTTTTCCCTGCTATGTGGTAGGAACCCTGGCTCATTAGTACCTACAGTCCTAGCCCCTGGGCCTTGAGCTTTTGCCCACCCGTGACAGGCCTCAGGAGAGAGATATGCTGCCCTCCCTCTCCAGGCACAGTAGTGCATCATGTACCGATACATCTTCGACTTGGAGCTGGGGATACTGCAGTGTGAAAGTACATTTTAATCAGGGATTGAATGGTGGGGTGAGGGTGGCACTCAAGCACTGAGCCACATTCCCAGCCCAATTTTGTCTATTTAGAGACAGAGTCTCAGTTGCCTAGCACCTTGCCAGTTTCTGAGGCTGGCTTTAAACTTGCAATCCTCCTGCCTCAGCCTTCCCAGCTGCTGGGATTATAGGCATGCGCCTTGGCACCCGTTGTGTTTTGAGAAGAAAAAATGTGAGATGAGAGCAGCCTTTAGAAGAGCGGGAAACCCCTGTCCTGGAGGGAAAACCCCTGTACAGGGGGTGCATATGGGGGTGGGGGGGGCAAGGCCCACAGGAGTTCCTGGGATGGGGAGAGCTTTTTGTGTGTGGTGTTAAGGGTTGAACCCAGAACCTTCTACAATTTGTTCAAGCTGATGCCAAACTGCTATGTAACTTCAGCCTACTGAGTTGCTGGTATCACAGGTAATACTACTGCACCCAGCCTCAATTTGCTAGGGATCAAACTCAGCTCTTTGTGCATGTTAGGTAACCACTCCACCACTGAACTATACCTCCAGTTCTAAATTGTTTTTTTAAAACATCTCTTGCTGGGTGTGGTGCATCCCTGTAATCCCAAGGCCTCTGGAGGCTGAGGCACAAGAGTTGCAGGTTTGAGGCCAACCATAGCAATTTAGGGAGGCCCTAAGCAACTAAGCAAGACCCTGTCATGGTAAAAAGGGATGGGGATGTGGTTCAGTGTTTGTAAAGGACCCCTGAGTTAAATTCACAGTTGCCAGTGGACCTTTATATGCAGTGCTGAGACTCCAACCCAGTGTCTCACACATGCTAGACAAGTGCTCTACCACTGAGCCACAAACCCTGTTCCTGTATTTGCTTTTTGCTGGGCACTATGGCAGCAGTGATTCGCAGGAGGCTTGCAAGTTCCAGGCCAGCCTGGGCAACTTAAACCCTGTCTTGAAGGCCCATGGATCAGGGTGCAGTTCAGTTCCTGCCTGAACCTTAAAGGGAAGGGCTCTGTGCCCAGAGGGCACCATGGGAGCCAAACAATGCCCCCGGGGGCTGTCAACAGGCGGGCCCTGGGAGTTCATGCTGAGGGGGTGGGCCACAACCCTTGCCAGAATTCCAGGAAGGGCCTGCCTGTTCCTGGCTTATAGCCTCCCAGAGGCCTGCAGGGAAATGTACCCAAAACAGCCTGATCCTCTGTAGAAACAGGGGTAGAGGTCTTCCTGAACTGGGCAGCACCAACCCTAAGGACAGGCCTTGGATCAGGCTGTGGGAAAGGGCTTTGGTGCTGCTTCCCCTTCAGTTGCCACCCTGAAGAACCTGGGAAGCTCTTCATATCACATCCTTGGAGTCCTGCTGCCCCTAGCAGGATCATCCAAGGGAGTCCAGGCACTGGGTGAGGGTGTCTCCTGCCAGGTCATGACCATCAGGCTACCTTCTCACCACCCCCACCCAGCTCCGTTTCCCTGGTCAGTGGGTTTGCTGCTCTCTACAGATATTCAAATA